AGGATAAAATACTAAAGCATTGATTACTAAACATAAGGTGTATATGCTTTTAACTTCTCATTCCAGAGAAACTAAGGATATTTGAGTCTGTTGGAGAACATGCTTTTTGCTTAAAGGTATCCATAAATTTGCCATCTAAAGAATTCTGGTGTGAAATCAGTTACTACTTAGTTTTCACTGAAGACTAAGGTTTCTAAGAGTTAAAATTCTTCTGCTAAATGTAATTAAGACTGATGGAAATAAAGAAAGCAATTCTATGTAGATAAATAAGAGATGTATAAAAAAGATATAAGATGCGGAAATACATTTTTGTTGAAGGTAGAAGATGATTTGTCCTAAATGAGACTGGTCGTTTGGAGAGAAATGGCTTTAGATGAAACCCGAATGCAAGGCAAGTTGTAGAAGGTTTGTGAAGGGAAGTCTTTGGAAAGGAATGTTATGTGTGGTTAAGATGGACTAAGGTTGAAATGAATGGATTTTTAAAATACACTGAACTAAGATTGAAATTCTGCTCTCTCTCTGATAAAAAGGACAAAGTTTTCTTGAATTGTTGGTCTGCCCTTGATAAGAAAATGTAGACAAAGTTGTTTTCTCTTTTCTTTGCCCAGGAAAAGAGTTTCCATGTTTTGGCTTTATCAGGTCTTTGAATGATCTGTAGTCCTATTTAGGCATATGCTTTAAAATTTTCTCAGGTTTTTAATAAACCTCCCCAAGATTTAAGTCATAAATGAAGTCTCCTTGACTAGTTTGGCTTGTATATTTGGTATGTTATGTTCTGGTACAAAGTCATCACTCAATATTCTGATTATTAAAGTATTCTGTGTCACAGAAATAACTGAATGTCCTTGTCAAATGCATTATAATGAACTCTCATGTCAGATCTTTTGGTACTGATTATGTCTCAAGAGTTCTTTCTTAGCCATGGCTCTGAACCCCAACACTTTGAACCATATCATGTGACATTTTCATCACCATGAAACAGTTCCTACTTTCAAACATTTCCACCTCTTTCATCTATGAACTATTTAAAATTGTACTTTTCAGTTTTCAAATGTGAGGTTGTTTGAATTGCTCTGTTAAAACTGATAATTCCCAGTTTAAATGCATTCCTGTTTAAATGCCTTTAAATACATTGTGGTCTTGTTACATGTATTGTTTTGTATGGTGTCAGTCTTTTCAAATTTCTTGAAACCTACTGACTGAGTACATGTAAACTTTATGTGAAAGTTCCAATGTGCTTAGAGGTAATGTTCATTCTACATTTTTGGATTTAAGTCCATAGGCCACATTTGTTAATCATTTTTTCAAATATTTTCTCATTTTATTGATATATTTGGTCTCCATTTTTTTCTGAATAACTATAAGTTGTGTTAAAAATCTCTCATGATGATTGTGGACATGTCTGTTCTCCATAAAGTTCTGTACAAGTTCTGTTTTCTTATGCATTTATGGGTATGTTATTAGTGATTGTGTTCAATGTTGTATGGTATTCTGATTAATCTAGCTGTTATTATGAAGTGATGCTTTTCAGTTTGGTTTTTATTTTTCCTTTGGTGTAAGCCTACTTATTCAATATATAGTTGGTTATGGATACTTTTCTTTGTACAATGTATCATAATACATCATTTACATTCTTTTACTTTTCACATTTCTGTATTTTTATATTTTCTATTCTTTTCTAAATAGCATACAGTTTGTTAGTAAACAAGAAGATCTTTACCTCTTTTTTAAAAATAATGTTTTAATCTTTATTTTTGAGAGAGAGAGAGAGAGAGAGTGCATGAGCAGGGGAGGGGCAGAGAGAGATAGGGAAACACAGAATCCAAAGCAGGCTCCAGACTCTGAGCTGTCAGCACAGAGCCTAGTGCCAGGCTCAAACCCGCAAACCCGGGGATCATGACCTGAGCCAGAGTCAGCCACTTAACCAACTAAGCTACCCAGGTGCCCAGATCTTTACCTCTTAAATGCAGCCTATCACTCATTTACATTCAGTGTATTCATTGGTATATTTGATTTAAATACTTATCTTACTAGGGCTTTCTCTTTGGCCTGTCTGCTCTGTTTTTTTCAATCAGACCCTGAAAGGGCCAAGAAATTCCTCCTACCTGGGGACCTGTGGATTCTCCCTACTCCTTGCAGACATTCCAATTTAATCTCAGTTCAGGGTATTTGCAGATAGATGTCTTTAACTCTGTGAAGAGTTTGTGCCGTTCCTCCCCCACCAGCACTCAGCTAATTCTACTGTAAATAAATTCAGTGAGGAATTTACAGTTTATTCTTTCACATGAAAAGGCAGCAGCCAAGAAGGAGGCAGGCTACAAGCATACTGGCAGAGTGGGGAGTATGCTTTACACAAGAAATGGCCAAAGAACCAGAATTTCCATAGTGCTAAAAATCACGTGCAAGAGGGGTTGTGTATGTCCCACATTTTCAAATTTGTGAGGGGAAAAAGACTGAAAACTTTATTTTTTTTTCATATATGTAACAATTACTTATAAAGTTCGGCCTATATCCTGGGCATTTATCCTGGGTACTAGAAGCCTAGTGAAGGACAAGGGGTGAAAGGGGTGAACTTGAGCCACAACAGATGGAATGAATTTCAGCAAGCTCTTTAAGGTATGACATTTTATAGAATGGTGTTATTGTCTTTTCTGTGATTATTTATACAACTTATGGCCTCTTCCCTTATTCACTATCAATCTTTTTCTTAGGCAGAATAATCTCCTGTTTCCCTCAAAGAACCTTAAATCAATGTGTGTAGCAGGTTTTCTAATACTTGCAGTGTTTTCTGATAAAAACAGATCTCGAGATCAGTAGAGAGAGACTGAGGCTTGTCAAGGACTGGCCCTCTGGGTGAGGACAGTGCAGGTCACAGTGGGTTCATGGGGGCAGAGAAGTTGGCCCTCACTCCTGGCCTCTTTCTTCTTAAGGATGACACAGGTGAGATATTACCCCGAACAAGTTGGGGCACAGGCCTCTGGGTGTTACCAGTGGAGGAGACAGTGGCTACATGAGCTTTGATCTCGATGGCTTTTGTTTGGAGACATCTGGTGCATAGTTGAATCCTGACCTCACAGTCTTCTCAAAGAGCAATACTGAAACCTCTTGACTCTCTCCATGAGGGTGTGCATGAAGGCTGTCATAATTCTCCTGGACATTAGTTCAGTGAGAAATTGAACTTCATCTGACTGAAGAAACTGGATGAACTTGAAAAATTTACGCAATGAAGAAATTTTCTTTTAAAATGTTTTTCCCCTGAGGAAGTCATATTTTTGTAAAAGTTTATTTACGGTTCATTTTCCCTCCCTCCCTTCCTTCCTTTTTTTCATCATGATAAGTGTACTCTTTTTTTAAAGTGCTTTTTTTTTTTTTTTTTTTAACTTAGAGAGAGTGCATGCAAGTAGGGAAGTGTCAGAGGAAGAGAGAGAATCTAAAGCAGGCTCTATGCCCAGTGTAGAGCCTGACAAGACCTCTCGACTGCTCATGACTGTGTGATCATGACCTGAGTGGAAATCAAGAGTCAGACACTTTGACTGACTGAGGCACCCTGATGCCCCGATAAGTGTACTTTAAAAAAATTTTTTTTTACTGTTTTTATTTTTGAGAGAGACAGAGAGAGAGAGAGCAAGAGAGGGACAGAGAGAGCAGGCTCCAGACTCTGAGCTGATAGCACAGAGCCCAACATGGGGATCCAACTCATGGACCATGAGATCATGACCTGAGCCTAAGTTGGACACTTAACTGACTGAGCCATCCTGGCACCCCCGATAAGTGTAGTCTTTAATCCCCATTACCTATTTCACCCATTTCTCCTACCTCCCCATCAGTTTGTTCTCTGTAATTAAGAGTTTAATTCTTGGTTTCTCTCTTTCTCTTTTTTCCTTGTTTGTTTTATTTCTTAAATTACATATATAAGTGAGATCATATAGTATTTGTCTTTCTCTGACTTATTTTGCTTACCATAATACTCTCTAGCTCATCCATGTTGTTGCAAATGGCAAGATTTTATTCTTTTTTATGGATGAATGATATTGTGTATATATACTGACATAGAAAATGTTGGAATTTGGAGCTGATGGCCAAAAAAGAATTCTTGAAACATCTTGGGTGCAGAAAGGTGATTTTATTAAAGCACAGAGACAGGACCCGTGCACAGAAGGAGCTGCACTGGGGTTGTGAAAAGTGGCCAATTATATACTTTCAAGTTGGGAGGGGATTAGGGACGCTCCCTAATCACAAGTCTCCAGGGTACTTTGGAAACAAGGTTTTCAGGACCGAGAGGGGGCTAGCTGCTGTTAGGAAAAGGTCATTTATTACTGTTTAGTAAAAACTCAGTCTCTTTATCCATTTATCTATCAATAACACTTGGGCTGCTTCCGTAGTTTGGCTGTTGCAGATAATGCTGCCATAAACATAGGGGTGCATGTATCCCTTTGAATTAGTGTTTTCATATTTCTGGGGTAAATACCCAGTAATGTGATCACTGGATCGTAGGGTAGTTCTATTTTTATATAGAATCTTCATACTGACTTCCACAGTGGCCGCACCAGTTTGCATTCCCATCAACAGTGCATGCAGGTTCCCTTTCTCCACATCTTCGCCAACACTTGTTTTCTCTTGTGTTGTTGACGTCAGCCATTCTGATAGGTGTGAGGTGATTTCTCATAGTTTTGATTTGTATCTCCCTGATGATAAGTGATATTAGGTATCTTTTCATATTTTTTTAAATTTAAACCTCACAAGTGACTTGTGAGTCAAAAGTGAGTTATATCATTCATGAGTAGTTGTCACAGGAAACTTGAATGGAATACATGGTGAATCAGCCCTTCTCTCAGGAAGAACATTGTAGCAAGTCTCAATTAGCATGCATGTCCTCACAGTCCTGTTTCCTGGGAATTGTAGTCCTAATTCATTCCACACCCTTTGTATTAAGATCTTAAAACTTATGTGATTCGATGTAAGGTTCAGGAGTGAATAGTCAAGAAAGAATTCTTGAGCCATTTTCGGTGCAAAACGGTGTCTTTATTAAAGCACGGGGACAGGACCCGTGGACAGAAAGAGTTGTACTGGGGTTGTGAGGAGTGATTGGTTATAAACTTTTAAGTTGGGAGGCGTGGAGACAAAGTTTCCAAGAGGATTTTCATCTATGAAAGAAGACCTACAGGATTGTGGAGGTCTGACTATTGTCAAGCTAAGGCTGTTTCTGCCACTAGCAAAACATTAATATTAATAGAGTTGGGAGTTCTGGAGGAATGTTATACGCTCCCTGTCTCAAGTATTTGTCAATGGGCTGCAGATTATGAGGAAATTTAATTTTATCTCCATCTCCTTTTGTCTTTGTTCTCCATGTCAAAAACCATACCTTTTGTTTTAAGAGTCCTTTAAAGCATCTGTCATAATTGTTGAGGATATATATAGAAAACAGGGAACTGGGTACCTAAGTGGCTCAGTCATATAAACATCTAACTCTCGATCTCAACTCAGGTCATGAGTTTGAACCCCACATCAGGCTCTGTGCTGAGTGGGAACATTGTTCAACCATCACTTTGCAGTTACTGATCAAGTGTTGGACATGGAAATAGGAGCTAAGATTACAATGATACAGATAAACCTGTCCTTGGTAGTGAGGTATCATCAGCGAAACAGAGTAAATGGGTAATTTAAATTTTCGAAATCATGCCATAGGTACAATGAGATCACAAAGGAGGCCCCACCCACCCAGTTTAGAGGATTCAGGAAATCCAAGAGACTTCATGGAGAAAATAGTCTGCAACATAAAGGTGAGGATCATAGAGGTTGTTTGAAGAAGTCTGAATACGGTGCACACGTATCTGGAATAGAGGCATAACATGTCAAGCCTGTGCAGTTGGAAGTAGTTCATTATAACAAAAGCATAGCATGCAAACATCAGCCCAAAGGAAAGTCCAAAAACATCAAGATGCACTGTACACCCACTATACAACTCACACCTAAAACTGTAATTTGAAGTTGGAAAGCGAAAGATGCGACACACCAGCTGGGATTTCAGGATTGCATCATATTCGTATTCATACTTATTTTTCAAAGACTTTAAGGAAGTAGAAATCAACCCCATAATATAAGCAAGATTAGGATATATGTTTTGTTTTTTCCAGTATCGGACCTCACTATTTATTACACCTCTCTTTTGAACTGGCCAATGATTTTCTAAGAATGCAAAATTCCCTAAATACCATCATCATTGTCATCATCCCCGCCACCGTCATCACCATAAACATCATCCTGGTTTTCTTTTCTTATTCTCCTGAACAAGTATTACATATCCCTTATAAAATTTTCAAAGATACGAAGGTTTATACCAAATTAATTAAGTATTCCTCTCATTCCTGATCTCAGAAATCTAGTTTCCCCTAGAAGCAACCAACAGTGTTCGTTCCTCATGTGTCTGCAAATGAGTATATACGAATTCCATTTTCTTTGCAGAAATAGGACACTCTTTCCATTGGTTGGCACCCCAGCTTTTGCACATTACAATAGATCTAGTAAGTTTTTCTAGTAGTGACACAGAATTTTCTGGCTATGTAATATTCCCTTGTGGAAGTGTGCTGAAATTTACATTACCACTCCCATATGAACATATAAGTAGTTCCAATCTTTAGAGTTACAATCAATGCCTCACTGGACATATCACCAATACACAATTTTCCTGTCTGTGTGTGTGTGTGTGTATGCACCAGAGAGTGTGTGTATGCCTTAAAACTGAACATGTGGTGCCAAAAACGGATTATCTATTCACATTTAATAATTGTTAGACACAATTTGCCATAGATATTATATAATTTGGACTCCCATGAAAGGACAGGTTTTCAGAAACCTTGGGAACATGGTTTGATAGCATGGGAGGTAAAACATTGCATCTCATCATTTGTTTTATCTTGATTTTTCTATAAACTATCTGTTCAAAGTTTGCTGACTTTTATTGATTTTTGGCCCTTCACAATGTATAACTCCTATAAATCAGCTTTGCTGTCTGATAGAAATCAAGCTGTCTCTTCAGAATATTTTTGGCTTCTGAATTTCTTTAGGTTCTTTTTCACCACAATGAATTTATCTTTTTTTTTTAATTTTTTAATGTTTTATTTATTTCTGAGAGAGAGAGAGAGACGGCGCGAACAGGGGAGGGTCAGAGAGAGAGGGAGACACAGAATCCGAAACAGGCTTCAGGCTCTGAGCTAGCTGTCAGCACAGAGCCCTATAAGGGGCTCGAATCCACAAACCGTGAGATGATGACCTGAGCTGGAGTCGGATGCTTAACTGTCTGAGCCACCCAGGTGCCCCACAATGAATTTATCTTTATTTTAATGTAGTTTTTGTCAGTGTTTATTTGTCTTTGGGTTTTATGGCACTTAAAAATAAATTTGATGCTCCAACATAATTTTATAATTATCTGACATTTATTGTTTCTGTGGAGCTTTATAAATGTTTCATCTGACATCAAGCTGGAACTTACTTTGTACAAAATTTACAATAGATCTACTCACTTTTTTATTCTACACAACTATTCACTTGTCTGACAACAGCTGTTATGTAGTTCATACTGAACTGTATTTTCCCACTGATTTTACTTCTTTATTTTATTTTTTAAAAATGTGTATTCATTTTGGGATGGGGGAATGGGCAGGGAGAGAGGGAGACAGAGAATCCCAAGCAGGCTATCTATCCACTGTCAGCCCACTGCCCATGGGGCTCCATCTCACAAATCATGAGATCATGGCTGGGCCGAAATCGAGAGTCTGTTGTTTAACTAACTGAGCCACTCAGGTGCCCCCAAAAGTGTTATTTAAAATTAGTAGGGTAGGTACTTGTGTGACTCAGTTGATTAAATGACGACTCTTGATTTCGACTCAGGTCATGATCTCACGATTTGTAATATTGAGCCCTGTGTGGGGCAGTGGGCTGATAGTGTACATCCCACATGGGATTCTCTCTCTCCCTCTCTCTCTGCCCCTCCCTTGCTTGTGTGTGTGCACATGCACGTGATTTCTCCTGCTCTCAAATATATATATACTTTTAAGAATAAGTACATAAATAACACTGTTCACATACACTTAATTCCTATATGTGGTGGGGTTCTACTTTTAGACTACGCGGTGTGTTCCGTTGTTGTGTTTTTATGTTTATGCTCAGTGACACACTGTTCTAATTCTTGCAGACCAATACATTTCATTGTACCTTTTCTGATCTGTCTGGGCTTTTGATCTTTTTGATCAGCTCCATTTAAATTTTACAGTTAGCTTCTTTGAAATTTTAACTCACAACGCATAGCATTTACAGGTGAACTAAGAAAGAATTACTTTGCATATGGTGCTGGCCTATCCTACTGAAGAACACACTATAGATAATCTGAGTAATTATTCCGATGCAACTTTCAGAAGCACTTCTTGATAAGTATATTCCAATGTATTTCTCTTCCAGGAGGCTACAAATTTGACCTTCTCTTTGTCTTCTAATCTGTTATTTCCACATCCATTTAAATTAACTGTCCAGCCACATTTACTCCATCTTTTGTTTGCCAAGCATTGACGCCCTATAGTAGGTACTTTTCTGTTTTTCTGTTAAGTTTTGCTAAAAACAGAAAAGGTACATATGCATGAAAATAAGCGATATCAAAAAACTGTTATGAAAACTTGTAAAAAAAAAATTACCTGAAATTATATACAAGAGAAAAGCTTGGCTACTAGTGAAATCAACTGTCTTAGCAGCTCACAAATTAGACACAAGCATGAAGGCTCCGAAGTATCTTCTCTGTAACTGTTTTCCGTTGTCTTTGAAGTGTAGTCAATTTTCAGCTTGTTACCACTCATAGTTTTTATTTGGGCCTAAAGTCGTGTGATATATTCATAAAAGGAAAACATTTAGAAACCCCAGACTTTCAGGAATAAGGTTATATATCAATAAATTATAAAATTTTCTGCATTTTCCTTTTTCAAGTATTCTCTCTTACTAGATCACTTATAGCAGGCATACCTCCTGGGTTGGGGTTGAGGAATGAGAAGGATGGTACCGCCTTACTTATATATATTCATCCATCACTAGGGTTTTGCGAGGCGGCTAACCAGGTATGAGGACAATTATGTGATATTCTAGCTATAATGATGCTATTTAGGAGGGAGCCTTTTATCTAAGGCACAAATGCTCACCCACATCTTAGAAATAAAGGGAACATCTAAGCTGATTTAGAAATCTGATGCCAACACTTCCGGTTGGGAGAAGAGAGAATTTCCCCTATGTTGCGTGCTGACTCAGGCCATCCTCTCCTGGGGACCGCCGTAGGCCTGGAGATGTCAGTCCCCCTCACTTCTGAATCTGTACATACCTGATAGTTTTAGGGCAGCAGGGATCTATCTTAGGGTCTTTGGGTGGGTAGGGCCTGAAAACTGGCAATAATCTCAGGAATGTGAACCGATTGCTGCTTCTGTTACATACACCCAGTTAGGACATCTCCAATGGTAAACCTGGGGACCCCATTTAATATTGGCTCCGTGTGGAATCCCTCAGAACAGCAGCACAAGCCCTGGGAAGTTACTTATATCCTAGAAATGCTTGGAGCTACCAAGTTCCTATGGGACTCTCCAGAAGCCCAGCATGAACACGGCTCATGTGCCCCGACGCAAGTCATTACAAATTCAGGGCTTGGTGAGTCAAGTGCTGTAAACGACAGCAGTGCTTCTCCGTCTGGCTGTGCGTTGACTTTCAGGCCTCCCTTCCTAAGGTCCCAGAACTTCGTTCTGCGGTCACTGTCCAGACCCGGACCAGGCTTACCTCCAGCCTCTGAAACTTCTCATTCTGCTTTCTCAGGTGTTCTCTCTCTCTCTCCTTTCTCATTTGGGCCATGGATTCCTGGAAAACTGTTTCTAGAGCCTCTACCCTTCGCTGCAGCTGTGTATACTTTTCCTCAAAAAGCTGCTTTTCCTTCTCAGCTGTCTCTCTTTTGGCTTGTTCTTCTGCTCCAGAAAGAAAACAACAGTTAAGCTCAAAAGCAACAACTCCCTGTGCCACAGCCCCCTCCCCCCCCAGTTTCTCAGACACCAAACTGTCTAGGATGAGCAGACAGAAATGTCTGAGTTGAACTCGCGACCACACATGGAGGGCAGGTTTGAGAACAAGGTGGGAGAGGCCCTGACTGGCTGGCTGACAAACGGCCACACCTTGTCTTCTTATTTTCAGATTTAGCAGAGTGTGCCCTCCACAGAAGGGGAGGACAGCCCTCGCTTCGAGAAGATCTTCCCGTCAGAGGTCTCGGAGGACCTGGCAGAAGCCTACTGCCCCATCATGCACAGAGCCCTCCCCATACCTGCTAAGGCTTGTTGAGCTAAATGCAGAAGCTCCTCTTTCTCCATGCAGCTTTTCTCTAGTTTATTCTTCACCTGCAGTAAGTCCTGCGAACCACAAAGGGCAAAGACATATCAGGTAGGTCAGACCTGAACTTCCACTGAAATAGTCTGAGGAAAAAAATCTGCCCTGATCAACGTTCCCTAGTTCTTCCTCACCCACCCTGCCTCCAAATACATGTTCTAAGACCCTGCCTGTCTCACTACCCCTCCAGCTTCGGCTGCCCTGCTGCTGCCCTCCACTCGTGCTGGGATCCACCGGTCAGAATAAAGTGCAGTTTCCCCAACACATAACCTCTGGTGCTTTCATATTTTTCACGTGCTGGCTTGTTTTGTTTTGTTTTGTTTTTTCCCTGCTTGTGACTGCTCCAGTAACGTCCCACCCTGGAAAATATGTACAAATCTTTCAAAGTGTATGTCACACTCCTCTTCCAGGAAGATTTCCTAGACTGCCTTCCCCAGTGAAAGAAATCACTGTGCATTTACATTTGTACACTTTTGTTAATTGTACATTTTCAATACATGAAACTTATGGTGTCTGAATTCCTGTTCAAAGAAACTTGAGTTACTACCATCTCAGAAATACTCCTTCAAGACTTTTGGTTAAGTTTCTGAACTCCCTGAGCCTTCCTTGTGAAGTGTTGACTTTGTATTGTATGATCTCCATGCAGCTATAGCATCCTGTAATGCTGTCTACAGGGCATGATTAACAGTCATACAACTCAGAGTAAAATAAAGGTAAAGAATGATCTGGTAACAGAATCTTCCCAGAGAACTTTGGGTTGAATGGGCGAGAGCATACAAGCTCCAAATGACTGAAGTGTGTTTCAAGCACACAGGGCAGCTGTAGATATTCAGTCAAGGAGGCCATCTGAGTGCCTGTGCTGACTTGGCTTCAGAGATTAGACGCATTTCCAGATAAAATGCCTGAGTTTGGAGGAGAAAGAGATAAAATAGAGTAATAGTGTCCTATTAACTCTCCTGTTCAGAATAATCAGTATCCTTCTGCCATGAATGTTAGCTAATCTATGGCCAATCAGGTTGCCTCTAGGTAGAGGGGATAGCATGAAGAAACAACTATTAAGACCAAGTACCGTGTACATCTTCCATAACTCTTCACCATTTGGGGCTGGCTGCCGCGCGGGGGCTGCTCCATCATTCCCGTCTGGTAGTGACAGGACCATTTCTCTGGGAACCTCACTCTGCAGAGCTACTGAGTCCTCACACTAGGACACCGGTGTGTCACTGTGTTCTCCAGGCAAGGAACTGCCCCACTATTGAAGGCATCCACTAAGGTCACCAGAATCCCCAGTCCTGAATGAGGCAAGAAATTTAGGGCATCAGTGAGATTCAAAATCAGAAACTATAAATTCTAAAACGATTTTTTAAAGACTCTATGCAGTTTGAAACTTTTTATAAATTCCATCCCCTCCTACTAAATTAGTGTTTTCCTCCCATTCACTGCACTTAAAAATTTTAAGTATCTTCCCTCAGTTAACATGCTTTGATATCTTTTGGGAAAAGAATTTCCCAATGACATCTAAAAACACAGTAGGCAACCATACAACTTAATAACTAAGAAACAGTTGATTACAAAATCAGCAGAGGAATTACATAGACATGTTTCCAAAAAAGACCTCCAAATGGCCAACAGTAAATGAAAAGATCACTAATCATCAGGAGAATAAGGGATACCTCAAAACCAGAATATCACCTCATACCTGTTAGAATGGCTATTAGTAAGAAGACAAGAGATGATTATTACCAAGGATGTGAAGATGAGAGAGAACCTTTGTACATGGATGGTAGAAACGTGCATTGTAAATTGGTTCAGCCACTATGGAAAACAGGATGGAGGCTCCATATAATTAAAAAATAGAACTACAATGGGGCACCTGGGTGGCTCAGTCAGTTAAAAATCTGGCTGTTGATTTCAGCTCAGGTCATGATCTCATGATTTGTGAGACAGAACCCCCACCCCCACCATGACCAAGTTTTTCATGCTGTCAGCGCAGAGCCTGCTTGGAATTATCTCTCTTCCTCTCTTCTGCTGCTCCCCCGCTTGTACTCCCTCTGTCTGTCTGTCTCTCTCTCTGTCTGTCTCTTTCAAAATAAATAAACTTAAAAAAATAGAACTACCATATTATCCAGCAATCCCTCTTTGGGGTATTTATCCAAAAGAATCAAAATCAAGATCTCAAGGAGATATATGCACTCTCATGTTATTGCACCATAACTGAGAACAGCCCAAGATATGGGAACAACCTAAATGTCCATCAACAGATTAGTGGATAAAGGAATTGTGTACATATATACATGGGATATTGTTCAGGCATGAGAAATAAGGAAATGTTGCTATTTGTGGCAACATATATGGACCTCAAGAGCATTGCACTAAGTGAGATAAGTGAAATACTATATGATAGCACTTGTGTGTGGAATGTAAAAAACTCGAACTCATAAAAACAATAGAATGGTAGTAACCAGGGGTTGGGAGTTGAGGGAATTGGGGGTTTGTGGTTTACAAGGGTATAATCTTGCAACCAGTAAATAAATAAGTCCTAGAGAAGCACAGCATAGCAATTATAGACAACAATACCAGATTATAAACTTGCTAAGCACACACATACACACACACAAATATAATAATTAGTGACATGATAGAGATGTTAGTTAAGACTGACTAATATGATTGTTAAGCATGTTGCAATATATAAATGTATCAATTCAATGAGTTTTATACCTTAAACTTATACAATGTTTTGTCACTTATATCAATAAAAATAAAAGAGATATGAGGTAAATAATTGAAGGAGGATAAATGAGATTGTATATATTCCTACTAAAATTCTACCTACTTTGAGGAACTAATTGTTTGAAATTTAGTTTTCTCTGGATCATACATACGTGTGTGTGTGTATATATATATATATATTATATATGTTGTGTGTGTGTGTGTGTGTGTGTAATCTCTGAGAAAAGCATTTATCATATAGGATGTCTCCTCAGATACAAAAGAAAACTGTAAACCAGAAGAGTCTCACAGTAAAATAAGAGCACAAAATCATTCTCTCGCCTCAGAGTTATCCAAAGCATGAATACATCAGCACTTCTGTACTTTTTCTGGCATTGGCCATCTGCAGAGTGCTGCCTGCATTATTTTCCAAATCTCTGAAGAAGCTAGAGGTGAAATATTGCCAGTCTCCAATGTTTGCTCTCATTGGTTCTTACAAGAACCTGCAAAGTAGGCTTATTATACCCACTTTGCAAATGAGATCAGTGGGGCTCAGAAAGTCTGAGTAAGGTATTTGCCAAAAGCACATAGTGAATAAATGTAGACCCATGATTGGAAACCTCGGAGGTCTGTTTTACTCTTCTATGTTTGGCACCCAATTCCCTGGAAAGATAATTTTCTTCAAAAATATTGATTACCTAGACTCCATGATCAGTAACTTCTACAGGATTTCTGTTGTCTCTCCTATCTTCAAAACACCCTTTCTAATGTAGTATTGTGGCCCCATGGGCTCCTCTTTTTTCTGCGGAGTCAGGTTGACATCCCATAAACCACTCAGCAGTTTCTAGATCTGGCACTCTCCTGGCCCAGCTAATGTTTCCAGGGGCTTCAGTTCAGCTCAGGTTTATGAAAGGTATCTTTTCATATTTTTATTCCTTGATATCCAATCCCATTTATTGTGGCCTTTTTTTTTTTTTTTTTTTACTTCAACACATTGGTTGAACATCTATTATTTGCTACACGCTGTGCTTATATACTTGGATTAAAAGATAAATAAACTGTATTCCATGGTATAGATAAACCACATCTTCTTGATCCATTCATCTGTTGATGGACACTTAGGCTCTTTCCATGTTTTAGCTATTGTGGAGAGTGCTGCTATGAACATTGGGGTACATGTGCTCCTATGCCTCAGCATTTCTGTATCCCTTGGGTAAATTCCTAGCAGGGCTATTGCTGGGTCATAGGTGAGTTCTATTGTTAGTTTCCTGAGGAACCTCCACACTGTTTTCCAGAGGGGCTGCACCAGTTTACATTCCCACCAACAGTGTAGGAGGGTGCCCGTATCTATACCATGGAATACTACATGGCAATGAGAAACAATGAAATCTGGCCATGTGTAGCAACATGGGTGGACCTTGAGGGTGTTATGCTGAGCGAAATAAGTCAGACAGAGAAGGACAAATATCATATGTGTGCACGTATAGGAGGACTAGGAGGAACTTAACAGAGGACCAACCGGGAGAAGAAGGGGGGAAATGGTGGGGGAAAGGGAGAGAGGCAAACCATGAGAGACTCTTGAATGCTGACAAAAACTGAGGACTGATGGATGTGGGGGGGAGGGGGGGATGGGCATGGAGGAGGGCACTTGTGGGGATGAGCACTGGGTGTTATGTGGAAACTAATTTGACAATAAACTATTTGTAAAAAAGAAAAAAAAAATTAAAAGAATTTGTCACCGTTAAAAAAAAAAAAAAGATAAATAAACTGTGGCCTCTGCCCTCAGGGTGATACTAAGATAACTATATGGGTCAGAATTAGGCTTAGCTGTGAGGTAGCTAAGAGAGCTGTAAGGTAGGGAGAGGTAGAAAAGAAATGTGTCATAAACAATTTATATTTATTGACATTTACGCTTATTTAATTTAGATTTACATTTATTTCTCCCTCATAAATTTCACGGTTGGCAGTCCAGGGATGGTATGTGGTTCTGTTTCATAAGGATCAAAGCTTCAGAACTTATCATATGCTCAATCATCTGTAAGGGGCAGTTCCTGGCGTGCTGTCATATTTGTATTCCTAGCAGAGAATACTAACTCTTTACTAACTCATCATGTCTACATAAACCAAATTACTTCTTAGATCATCCATGTGCCCATACACAGCCACAAGAGAGGCTGGAATTGCCACCATTATTCTGGGAAACTATGTGCATGGCAAAAAGCCTCTGGGATCTCTAAGCGGTGACTGTGCCGGCAGAACATGGGGTTTCAGAAGCAATGCAGAGTGAGCACCAGAAGGAAGAGGATAGCTGTGTTAAATACCCAGAGAATTCACTACAAGCATTGGCAGGATGTCCAGCGAAGTCCTTACTAGGTGACAAAATAGTAGCCAAAGGGAGAGGTAGGAACAGCTGTGGAGGAATGAGGTGGATCCAAAGAAAGAAAGTAGAAGAATGTCTGGATCCCAACATCTATGTGCTGAAGTACTTAGTGGTGAAGAGTCACAGCCTCTGTTAGCTCTTCCCCCAAATAATAATCAGCATAAGAACGTTAATAGAAAAACTTCCATATCTATTTAGAAAGAGAGAATGCAAATATCACAAAATATCACCACAGGGCGTATCCAAGTAAATGGTGTGTAAGATTTCATTGTAGTCTTAAGCTTCCTCTGTAGTTCAGCTTTTTTTTTTTTTAACATGTAGATTTTAAAGCAAGAATATGTAACAGCGTTAAGTGGAAAATCTCAACTACAAGGTTTTATAACTTACATATTTACATGTATCTATTGCATTCCTCTTCTCAGTTCTCATGTTTATGTCAGAAATCAGGGTTTTAAGCCCAAACCTAATGTGCATGTAAAGAAAGTTTAGAAATGAACATACCTGAGCCACAGCTTTGCTAATCTGTTCAAGAACGAGCAGCCAAGTGCCTCTTAACTCACCCTTGCTCTGTTTTCTCTTCCCACAGAAGCTGAAAACAAACAGGTTGTTAAGAAGGAAATGAGCAGAAAGCTGAACCTGAAAGTGAAAACACTGCCTGCTATTTTTTTAATATTCGGGGAAATCCTGCCAGAACCCAGCCGCCAGAGCCTGAGAAAGTAGGGGGGTGAGGCAGCTGAGTGTAGTCCAGGACTCTGCATTAGGCCCTAGGAGAGATATATCACCCTAACTAGCTTTATCTTATCCCCAGCTTGCCTGCCCACAGACGGGCTGCTGCCTGAGACCCAGGGCACAGGGCTGCTGGCTCCAGAGGCCGCAAGCAGACTAGGGTCGGCAGCTGCCAGTTGACAGAACCCAAAGGCAGAGAGAGGAGTGGTGGGGAATCAGGAAAGGAATCTGTTTCAGGGAGGCTGACACTGGGAACACGGTGGACTGGTGTCCCAAAGGCTGTCCCCAAAGTGTCAAAAATACTTCCAAGTTTATATAAGGAAAATGTGGGACAAAGGTTGGTAGGTACATGCCATTGGGCAGCAAAGGTCAGGTGGATCGTTGTCTTTGGGTCAGTCACATAGGGTCTTGCTGATCTTAAGAGAACTTAATTAGAAAGTACAGACTGAAGTCAAAATGTGGGTAGTTTGAGTCCTCCCCAATCTCGATCCTCTGCCAGGGCTATGATGCCTGGAGGCGTGCATCCTGTTGTCCTTCTATGTCGTGGAATTCATGGAGCTTCTTGAATGAGGCGATTAATGTTTTTCAGAAATTATGCATGTTTCCGGTTATTATTCTTCATATTTTTTCTAATACTTTCTACCTTCTATGTACTAATGAGACTTCCGTTCTGCCTATGTTTGCATGCCTGATGGTGCCTCACAGTCTCTGAGGCTCTACTATTCTTAATTCTTTTTTCTTTTCTGTTCCTCAGAATGGATTCTCTCCATTGATTTATCTTCAGTTCACAGATCTTCCCTTTGCCAGTACAAATCTGGTGTTTGAGACACTATATTTTTGTATTCCAGTTCTTAGACTATTCCACTGTGGAATCTCTTTTCATTCTTTTGGTTTAACTTCTTGTTATTAATATTTTCTATACCATGAGTCATTTTCAACACACTTTGATTCTTTCAACGTAGTTATCTTTAGTTCTTTAAACATACACATAATAGCTGCTTTGATATATTTGCCTGTTAAATAAGGTATTTGTCTGCTAAGGCCCCAAGAGATGGTTTCTATTGACTTCTTTTCCTATAATTAGGCCAACTTTTCTGGTTCTTTGCATGCCTCGTAATTTGTAATTTGTTTTGAAAACCGGACACTACAAATAATATGATGTGGACTCCAGTGCCCCCTCAAGAGATTGTTGATGGCTTTATACTTTGTTTAGTGACTTGGCTGGACTAATGTTTTTTTTTTTTTAAGTTTTAATTATTTTGAGATAAAGAGACCCCTCATGCATGGGAGAGGGAGAGAAAGAGAATCCCAGCCAGGCTGGGCACTCTCAGCACGGACCCCTATGTGGGGCTCGAGCCCACAAACTGAGTGATCATGACATGAGTGGAAGTTGACTGAGACATCCAGGCACCCCTTGCCTGGACTAATTCTGTATAGTTTGATGAGCTTGCCATATGTGACCACTCACGGCACGGCTCTGCTTGGTTATATTTTAAAATAGTTTTCATTTAGGGGCACCTGGGTAGCTCAGTTAGTTAAGCATCTGACTTTGGCTCAGGTCCTGATCTCATTGTTTGTGGGTTCAAGCCCTGTGTTGGACTCTGTGCTGAAAGCTCAGAGCCCAGAGCTGCCTTGGATACTGTGTCTCCCTCTCTCTCTGCCCCTTCCTACTTGCGCGCACTCTCTCTCTCTCTCAAAATTAATAAACATTAAAAAAAGTTAAAAAATTTTTTTATTTAGTTTTTACGATAGACTTCCTAAAGTCACGTCTGAGTCATCATAGCTTACCAATGAGCCAGTGCTAAGCTAGAATTTATGCTTAAACACCTCAAGTTGATAAATTACCCTTTGTCCATGGCTAGTTTCAGAAGGCATTATTTCTGCATATGCGAGGCCTCACACTCAGCCAGGAGAGTGTAGAAGAGTGAAGCAAGGAAAGAAAGTAAACAAATCCAAGGATGGGTTATGGAGCCACTGTGAGCTTCTGGGGCTCAGTCCTGCCAGCCTACTGGGCGTGACATTCAGGGAATCTCAGAGAATTCCTCTGAGACTGGATCTGGTGGAGGGAGAGTCATCGGTATGACAGAGGTTGCTGCTATGGGAATTAGGCCACCTGCTCGTGTAACTTTGTCTTGTCCTGCAGCCACCCAAATATGACTTTGGATGGTCTGACAGTATGTAGCTCATGGTCCTGTACTGGCTTGATATAAGGAGTCAGGAGCTCGGCCTCAATGGCAACCCCAAAGTGGCTTTTCAAATAGCAAGTGACCTTCTGATGCATAAGCTCTGACCTTGCTCTGAAACCCTGAAACTCTGCTAAGATGGTTAGGATTGCAAGAGACCTTTCTCTCTGCCTGCTCCCTCTGTCACCACCGTCCCTCCCTGCCCACATCAAGTGAACAACTGTCTGCTTTGTTTGGCACTTGATATAACTGGGTCCCTGAAGTGGGTATTCTGTAACATCTTGTGTCTTGTACCCAATAGTATGCATGTGGGATTTGTCCATATTTTTGCGTATAGCTGTAGATTGTGTACTTTCTATGCTGTATAGTATTCAGCAGTAAGGATCTTCTATGCTTTATTTATCTACTCATTTATTGACAGATTCAGAGCAGTTTCTAGTTTCTTGGCTGTTATAAACATTCTTGCATGCATCTTTTAGATCACATCCTATCTGCACGTTCTCCTTGTGTATGTGCCTATGAATGGGTTGCTGAAGTGCATATATTCCGCCCAATAGATCAGACAGACACTGGTCAAACAGTCCCATGGTTCTGTCAATTTATATTTGCACCAGCAGCGTAGAACATTCTAGGTGCTGTACAAGCTCGACAAAGCTCGGTTTGCAGACACCTTTTCTTCATTTGGTAGATGAGTAATAGCAACATGTTGTGTTTTTAATGACTTATGAAATGAAGTGTCTTTTCTTATGCTTTTTAGAGATCCTCTTTCATTATTTTCATAACTAAAATATTGCCATTTATGTGTCAGTTTTTAATGTGCTTTTTTTGCTCACTCATGTTTCTGTTTGGAGATCTTTGTGCATGCATGCCTCTGTGTGTGTGTTGTTGTTGTTGTTGAATAGCTGCTTAGAGCAGATATAATATTTTTATTTCCCATCTGAAACCCTGTGGACAGTTAGATTTTTTTGTTTTTTCTGAGACTGTTTCTAGTTTTGGTAACATAAGTATCTCTAGTTCATCCAGGGAATATCTGTTTCTTTTTTTTTTTTTAATTTTTTATGTTTTTATTTTATTTTCGAGAGAAAGAGTGTGAGTGGAGGAGGGGCAGAGAGAGAGGGAGACCCAGAATCTGAAGCAGGCTCCAGGCTCTGAGCTGTCAGCCCAGAGCCGGATGCGGAGCTCAAACTCATGAACCGTGAGATCATGAGCTGAGCCGAAGTGGGATGCTTAACTGACTGAGCCACGTAGGTGCCCTGGGAATATCTCACTTTCAACCTATGCAAGGAATTACTATACAAGACACTCTCTTGACACATGAGACATAGTAAAAAGCATAAACCAGGCCAAGATTATGGGAGGGACCTCCATTCCTTTTCCTGAGACCCCACTTTCAGAGCTTTCACAAATGATGGACTTATTTATTCTACTATGAGCACCTATTATGGCAAAACCTCATTTCCCAATCAAACATATTGTCTCAAGCTGCACACCCTCCCGAAAGTGGAAGAAGTGGAAGGGCTGATTCCCATTGCATTGATGTAATATTTGCAATACTTGAGTGGTTTTCTAGGGAAAGCTGAGACCATGCTCAATCCTTTTCTATTCCCACACAGCATGGTTTTTTGTAGTCATGGTGACGATGATAATCTTGAAGCTTTGAGGTGTACCTGAATCAGAGATAGGGCTGGATATAGCTTGTCTTTTCATTCTTACTCCCAAATGCAAGACTATCTAAAAAGCAGGTATAAGTATAATGAATTTTACTGAATATGTATCAGTTATATATTTTGGGCAGTAGTGTCAGCAAAATTTGCATTGGCCTCTAGTCCTATGCCAGACCCCCTGAAGCGGTACCCCAGCTGAGGGCTGCTCACCAGGGCCCCTGGCCTAGGCTGGGTGCAGCACACAGCAATGACTGGGACCCCAAGGCTGGTACACTGGTGCAGTTGGGTGTGATACACAAAGTGGCAGCTGGGCACCTGGCATATGACTCAGAGTCCCACAGTAGATGGGAGTGCCTGGCTGGGGACAGCACTTGGTTTCGGCCCAGGTCATGATCTCATGCTGCGTTGACAGCACAGAGCCTGTGTGGGATTCTCTCTCTCCCTTTCCCTATGACCCTCCGCTGCTTGTGCTCTCTGTCAAAATAAACTTAAAAACTTAAAAAAAATCTTAAACCCTACCCCCCAAAACTCACAGAATCCAGTCCCTCTGGTTTTTAAAGCCAGATGTTATGGGGTGCAAGGGCCTGGGCATTTTCTCTGCCCTCTCAGAGCATGCAGCTCCCTCCCTCCTGCCGGAGGGGGGGGGATGGGGGGGGCCTGCCTTTCTGATCCTCCTAACCTTTCAGATGCAGCTTCTATTCTTATTTCTTATGGCGTGTGTTCTGCCTGACTTCCGGCTCTGTCATTGAGCCGGATGTGCGGATGTGCATGAGATCTAGTTGTAAACATGGTCCTCCTGCACTGCCATCTCCCAAGCTCGCCTCATTCAGGGATACCCTTTCCTCCTCTGTCTTTGCCTTTCAGTTTTATGGAGACTGACAAGACGTCCAGTCCTCCAAAGCCCTTGGGTCCACTCTCTCTCTCCTGCTCATGCTTGTTCTCTCTCTCTCTCTCAATCTCTCTCTCTCTCTCTCTCTCTCTCATCTGCCTTTTCTGTTTTCTTCTCACCCACCATCTGCTTTAGGAGGAAA